GTTACCTTCTGGCCCCCTCAGCCTTAGAATGGATGTTGAACTAATTTCAAACTCTATGTGGGATGTTCATTCTAAGGTCAAAGGTTTCATTCGACACAGCCAATGGAGGGTCCTTTTTCTTTTCAGGAACCTTATTAATTTGAATATTGAGGAGCTGCCAGACATTAATGCTAATGGTAGGGATAAGGTATCCTGGACCTTGTCTCCTACAAGTAATTTTAGTTTAAAGCATTCCTTTAATGCTCTTATCCCTCCTGCCCCATTATTTACTTGGAACAACATTTTGTGGTTCTCCAAACACATTCCGAAACATGCCTTTGTCTCTTGGCTTACTCTTCACAATAGGCTGTATACCAAGGACAGGTCATTCACAGGTCATAGAGGAGTTTCTACATTATGCAATTTATGTATGAATGAGGATGAAACCCATGAGCATTTGTTCTTTAAATGCAGTTTCTCCTCCTACATTTGGGATCATGTTCAACATACATGTGGTCTTTACTGTGGTGAGCGTAATCACACATTCATTGCCAAATGGATTGACAATGTTTGGAATGGCAATTGCAATTCTATGGATGCCATTACAGTTAGACTTTGTTTTTCTGCTGCTATCTATTTTATATGGAAGGAAAGGAACAAACGTACCTGTGCTGGGATTATGTCTTCCCCTCACGCGATGTGGAAGCTTATTGAAGACTGTATTCGTAGCCGGCTTCTCTCCATGAGATTCAAAAACTCTAAAGATCTCGGAGTGTGGCCGCGGATTGGAGACTACTGAGTGTAGTCATTGATAGCAATACTGGAACTGACTAAGTTTCTTCTTTGTTTGTGTCTCTGTATTGCTTGTCCCTCTATTTTGATTTGTATAGAGAGTGTGTTTTGCCTTCGGGCTTGTTTGTTGGGCCTTAGTGCCTTGTTTGTTGTTTCGTTTTAAGCGCTGCCCTTTTGGGTAGCTGTGTATTTGTTTGTTTGTTTGCTTTTAATAAATTGATTTACCCAAACAAAACAAAACAAAAAGATTACTAAGAAGTTACTAATTAATGGTTTGTAAAAAGAAATTTATTTTGATAATTTTGTATATATATTTTAATTAAGATTATGTGTGTCTTTTGTGTGTGTGTGTGTGTGTGTGTGTGTGTCACTTCTTTTTGGTTTCATTTTGTTAATTACATTGACTTTCTTTAAAGTTTGAATAAATTATACTCATGTTTAGGGTTTATTACTTTGACATTTCTTAAGATCTGGCGTATGTCATTGGGGAAGAACAAAAAAAAAAAAAAAAAAAAAAAAAAAAATGAAATTACATACTATATACATCATTCTTAAGTGCAAAAAGAAGATTGTTAAGAAGCATGGGGCCAAAAAAAATTAATAAAATGAAGAAGAAGAAAAATGAGAAATTTGAAAGGAAAAAAAATTAGAGTTTGAGTAAAGAAGCTAGGAAAATTTAACTTTTTTTTAAGAAAATCAAAGGAATATTAAGAGAAAAAAAAAAAAAAAAAAAAAAAAAAAAAAAAAAAAAAAAAAATTTAGAAGACAATTTTAGAAATTTAAAATTTTAAGGGGGCAATTTATAGAATTTTTTTTATAAATGTACAAATTAAAATTAAAAATATTATATTTTATAGTGGGCGGGGCCATGCCAGGAGAGACATGTGCCCACTCTAGGCACACACTATGCGTCAATGATACCCCTAAACTTTTTTTATTATTTTTTACTTTACGGTAGATTAGTTGACCAATTTTTTTATAAAATAACAATTTTATAACATGTAATATAATATATCATATTATAAGAACATTATGAATTTTTTAGTTTTTATAGTCAAAGTTGTTTGTCAATAATCATAAATGAATTTAGAGAAGTAAAAGTAATAAATTTAGAGAAGTAAAAGGAATGATCGGTTAATTTTCTTAAATTAATTATTTTTTGAACCCAAACTGTAATGTTTGTGCCTTTGTATATATATGCCTGTGTGTGCGGTGTGTATTAAAAGAAAAAAAAAAAAAAAAAAAAAAAAGAAAGAGAAAAAGAAATTAGAAAAAGAGAGGTGGGACCCACGTCCCTTTTAAATGAATTAAGAGACCAAGTTAGTCTCTGTTCTTTTTCTCTCTCTTTCTCCCGACTGCTGCTCTCGGCTCCTTCTCTTTTCCTTTTTTCTTTTTTTTCACTTCAAGCTTTAACCCTTGATTACTCTCTCAATCCTTGCCGGATTTAGGTGCCGTTTGAGGCAAAACGACGAGTGTGACGAGCTCTACATTCTAGTACCAGCAATTCCAGTTTTGCTACCTTCCTTGGAACTTGAATTTGAGGAACCATTTTCTAGGGTTTTGGTGCAATCTTGAGGTAGGGGCATCTTAATCCACTCTCTTCTTGTTCCATTGTGAGTTATGCTCTTTTGTTGTGCTAGACATGCTAAATTTGAGAATTAATTGCTTCAATAAGGGGTAAGTGATGTTTAGAAAAATTTCATGTCTTAGGGTTATGACTTGTCTATGTGAAACGCTTGTATAGATGATGGCTTTGTGGTGTTTTTTGTGAATTACAACTCTTTTATGTGCTAACATGCTTTACTTGGGGATTAATTATGTTAATGATTATTTTAATGTTGTCTAGAGAAATGTATGTTTATGCACATGTGATGTATTATGTGAAAAGCTTGCCTATGTGTTGAGTTTATGTCCACCATGTGTAAACTTGCTGAAAGTGATGTATGAGACCATGCTTAATTGTATTGTGCCAAAATTTCACATTGTCATGATATTGAGATTATATGTACATTCTTGGACATGTCATTGGGATGCATGAAATGGGAGAAGTTGTCTTGAAATGAAAATGAGGAATTTTTGGGAGATAATAGTTTTTGTGAAATGGTTTTGATAAATCTGGTCGCTGCGGGGTTACCAACGGGCCGGAGGTTAATATAGCCTAGAGGGGACTAGGGAGTCGCCCTAGTGTGGTTGAGCTAGCTGGGCCCCATAATGACGTCGCGGGGTTACCAAGGGTCAGGAACACTAGCCAATTCTCCTCTCGTGTCGCGGCGGGGTTACCAAAGGGCGGGCTGTATTAACGTTTGAAAGTGATGGTTTTGAGAATGAAAATGGGGAGTGTCATTGACACGCATTGCATTTCATTTCATTGTATTGCATTGTTTATACTTGGAATTGACTTGTATGTTGTATTTGATCCCCTACGTCGTATGATCCCTATCTCTCATTGGCCTATGCTTTGCTTGAATTCACAAGGACACAAGATTTGTGTCTTAAGTGTCACCTACTGAGCATATAGCTCACCCTACTATTTATACATTTTTTTCAGGTCTTGGAAAAGAACCGGTGGACGACAACCCACCTCAAGGTTGAGCGATACTAGAAGCTCACTTTTGTGTCTTTTGTATATCTCCCATTATTTTTGCAAAGCACTAAAAGTGTGAAGGTGTATATGTATATTTTGCAAAAACTTTGTCATGTAATGTAATTAAGGTATTTGATGATATTTTAGATGTGAATTTGATAACATGTAAACCTTATTGATGAATGGGGAGAGTAATACTAGTTTGAAGTATTATTGAGGTCATTTGATTGTGTATCATCATCTACTATTGCCGTGAATTCGGAATTTGAGCCATGACAGGTTAAAAATGCAATTAAACAGGTTGTGATAGGCCTATTTTTAGGGAAGGTTATGCCAAATTTTTTGTAAAATTCTTGGCATCAGCTAGGGTCGTTACACAAACTGAGTCATTAAATCAGAAGATTGAGTCAGATTACCGGATTAAATTAGTTCGGATAGAATTAGTGAGAATTAACGATTTAAACAGTTCTGTGGCACCCCTAAAGTTGGGGTTTGGTGGTCAAATTCTTAAAAACACCACCCCCACCCCGGCGAAGCACATGCTGTGCACAAAATTCACCACTCCACAATTTGAAATTGAGTCAGAACTTCGGATTCGAAGAACTCGTCACTAGAGTCTTCAGCCAAAGAAGCAATTTAGTTACTTTGGTAGAGTTTTAGAGAGAGAAAGTAGAGGTGATCTGCAGTGACTGATCTGATGAACGGCTTCTGATGAAGGATTGGTCGGAAGTACAATACATTAAATTCTATATCCACCCAAAAATGATCCAAGAAACACGTAATGAGAATGTAATTTTTTAGCCATGTGAATGTGCTCCCCATGCATGCCATATAGGACTATTCTCAGTTTGTTTAGACATAGTCTAACCGGGCCTTAAGAGTTTAGTTTTGAAAATATATTTTTATTTTTTGATGTTTGGTTGTTGTAAAATATTTATTAAGAAAAAAAAATATTAAAATTTAATAAAAATAACTTATTTATCAATTTTCGACAAGTTATTTTACATGTCCATCCGATGAACTCGATCTCAACCTCGTTGAGATCTTTATCAAACATCGACAAAGTAAAAATAAAATAATATTTTACTTAAAAATATATATATATTTCAAAAAGAATATTTTACGTCAAAACAATCATAGCCTAAAATGGTGAGCAAAAGGAATTCAATTTCCACTGTTAGGGATAAACATTTAAACAATGTTAACGTTGCAACCTTTTTTATCATCGTGGACAAATTGGCGTTTGGTAGAGAGAGAAAAGAATGAAGATTACAATTAAAATTGAAACCTTTGAAAACAACATTTTTGTAAGTCAGAGCCAGTTGGTTGTTTTGATTCTACCCAAAATCATCAAGAAAAAAATATTGCATAAAATCAACTATCTGATTTACAAAACTAAATTATACTATGATTTACAGAATGTTGTGCCGCTTAACAAGGAGGAACTTAAACAACAGAACATATATTTTTACATCCTCTTTATTAAATTGATATTAGCTCTGCTCTGCTGTCACTGAGGGGTAAAGAACAAAAAGAATTAGGGAAGAAGAAGAAGAAGAGAGGGAAGGCCTCTGAGACTCACTAGTAACTCGTCTCAATCCAAAACTATATTCAAAACTGATGCCTATTTATAGCCACCAAAAAGTTTCCTTAACCGCTAAAGAAATACAAATATCCTTTATGACTAAGCTCCCTTAATAAAGCTTCTTTCATTCATAAGCTTCCATAACAACTAACGAAGTACAAAATATCTAAGAGAACTTTATAACTAAGAAAACACAATCTCTCTTCAAAATACAAAAAATCTCTGCAAAAACATTAATGCCGCAGCCATAACATCCTTATTTGATTGCAACCCTTTAGGGTAGCCGTCTAATCGAGTGTAGCTTCGAATGCTCTGCATCACCATGTTTAATTGTTTTATTCAAATCACTTGGTTTATATCTATAACGACCAAGTCATATGAGGGTAGAGTTAAAGTTCGTCGGTGGTTTCAGGGGCATTTACAGCAACGACAATCGAACTCCTGACTTTATGTACTCCATCTGACCATATTAACTGTCCAAATGAATAGCCTTTGTAATTACCAGGTTTTTTCGTTTTCTGATCTTCTTTCAATGTCACATAAAATGTGATTTGTTCACCAGGCTTCTTAAATTTCATAACATCTGGTTTAACTATAACTGAAAATCCCTGTGGTGAAAGAACACGAGCTTTATAGACGCCCGGTGGGCCAACATTCTTCAGTGTTCGATTCACGGTGACTGAGCCGGAGAGTTTGGGGACAGTTATTGAAGGATAGTTTAGGTTTAAGATACTGAGAGGATTGGTAGATTCCGGACATACAAGAGCCTTCGAAAATGGCTGAGTCTTACTTTTTTCATATCCAAGTGCACAAAGGAAGTTGTTGTAATCCTTAATTTTCAAGTCATAAACCAAGCCAGGTTCTGCAGCAAGGTTTGGCTGTACGTGTCCAGCACCGTAACTGAATGGTGTTGCCTTCACATTAGAACCATTTAAGATTGGACTGCCAGTGTTGTCTATTGTGCTTGCTGCATAGAAAAAAGTTCATCAACAAACAAATGCTAATTAGTCAGATTGAATATGTTGACCAAAAGAACAATAAAGCCCTTACATGTCTATAATTTAATTTGGTACATTTTGCTCTAACTCTTAGCATAAATGTGATGATATATAGTACCAAGATTGGTTAGAATATAAATATCATTAGTACTAGTGAAAATGAATTGAAACATTACCGGTGGTCATGATTGCGGATCTAATAGCAGCGGGACTCCAATCAGGGTGGATTGCTTTGAGAAGGGCGGCAATACCAGAAACATGAGGACAAGACATGGATGTTCCAGATTCAAAGTTAAAGGGAAAAATGGTTTGCTTATCAAACTCTTCTACATGTAATCCATATGCAGCTAGCACACTTACTCCTGGTGCAGTGATATCAGGCTGAATATTTAACCAAAAAAAATTCCATGAATGGGTAAATTACAATATGATAATAGAAGCCACATGCATGATGCAACTGAGACTGATGTTAACTAAATTATAAGGACAAAAAAAGGTTCTTGTTCTGGCTAGGATCAAACCTTGAGGATCTCTGGTGTAACAGTGTTTGGACCCTTGGAGGAGAAAGCAGCCATGACTGGAGCAGGTTTTGTGTAGAGTTGTGTTATTGTATCCTTAATAGTAGCCTGCGGATCCCTACATAATTACAGTAATAATCAAGTATAAGAAGAAAACTGAGGAAATTGATGTGATAACTCCAAAAATGGAATTGATAAATCCGAGTATACATACTTGGTAGAGTTGATGAAGGCAAAAAGAGCAAGACCAGCTGTGTAATTGACATGTGAAGACGGAATGATGTGAGCGTCAGTTACGATTTCATTACCATCTATCTTATCGTTGCAAAGAATCATTCCCACAGCACCTGCACGAGCAGCCTGAAAACTCTTGTCCGCTCTCGCGTTATCACCCCTAAGACACACCACGATCTTACCCTTAACCTTCTGAGGATCCAGCGTCCCCTCCTTACACAGCATACTGCATATTGATATATATATATATCAATGAAGCTCAAATTAGAAACCATAACAAATTGCATGATAATATACCCCATAAACTGCAATTAATTAATTATTTTCTCTCTCATAAGGCAGCTTAACTGTACGACTTACGCTTCTGTTGTAATAGCCTTGGCAGCTTTAGCCTGTGCCCCGGTAAGAATCAGAATGGGTCTTTCTTGTCGCACTGGTTTAAAAACACCGACTCCCTAGAATCATACACTACATCATTAATAGAATCTTAAACAAATAAAAGAAATACTGTAATTAATAGCAGACCAAAGAAACTCGTATCTATATCTATTTCAATATTAATTTATACTTTATAAGTGTAAGTATTTTTTATAATTTGTATATACATTCAAATTAGGTTAATTAAACTTAGATATGGAATTGAACCTTGAGGCGCACTCCATTAGCAAGCTCAACGTCAACAAAAAGGTTACGATCCATGGTGCTCGCTCCAACGGTTAGCAACCAGGGCGCAACATTGGAGACAGTACCATCTGTGGGTCCAGCATTCCCGGCTGAAACCACGAATACTATGCCATGCTTAGCAGCATGGAATGACCCGATTGAAAGGGAGTCATCGAAGTAGTCATTGGGGTTTCCACCAAGCGATGCTGAAATCACGTCAACGCCGTCACGTATGGCCTGATCAATGGCTTTGAGGATGTCCGCGTCAGGGCATCCTCCCTCCCAGCATACCTTATATGCAGCCACTCGGGCTCTAGGTGCACCACCTTTTGCAATTCCATTGCCAGAGCCGAGTACATTTGCTCCGGGGACAAAGTTCCCACCTGCCGTTGATAGTGTATGAGTTCCGTGGCCATCCGAGTCTCGGGCAGTGAAATTGGAACGGTCTTTAATCTTCTTATTAGCAACAAATCCTTTGTAAAAGTACCTAGCTCCGATAAGTTTTCTGAAAGTTTTGTCCAAAATTACAAGAAATAAGACGTTACTTTTTAACTTTTAAACAAAATAAAAAAATAAAAAGATGTTTATTTGTTATTTTATTATTATTATTATTATTTTGGAGAAATACAAAATCAAACTATTGATACATATGGTCAGAATTATGGAGAATCAAGATCCTCACGACTATTAACAAACCACTTCCACGACTTTTCTAGGCTCCTTCCTTTTTTTAATCTTACAAGCCAAACATAGAAAACTAGGAAAATCAATATTTATTCACAAACTTATATATATTTCGGAACAAAACCAAAATACCAACTGATCATTCTTGGGCCAAAATTAATTGTTCAAGTGATGTTTTCCTTTGGGGGTAAAAGATCATTTTCCTTGAGAGTCTCTATGCTTGATTACGCATGTAGGGCTCAGGGCTCAATTTTACAATTTAGATTTAGTTACGTCATTCTTTCCAGTGAAATTCCTTTTGAAATTGAAATTGCAAGTACTCGAGTTAAATAAGAGGATGTCATGGCCAAATATGGTTGTGTGCGTTGAGTTGTTTAGGCGTGTTCTTACTTTGATAAAGATTTTGTTTCTACAATTATGTTGATTTATTTTTATATTTATTCACATAGTGAATTAAATGGAAAAAGAACTTACTTATTGCAAGGGAATGGACCTTTGGTGTCATTTTGACATATTCCATTCCATTTTTTTGGAACGGGTCCATATCCTTTGTCACTAAAGCTCTCTAATTCAGGCGTCACACCTAACAAAAGCAAAGTTACAAGAAATTATGAATTCCACCATATTAAAAACTATAAAAGAATTAATTTGAAAAGCAAGCTATAATTTGACATAATTTTAAAAAGAATGAAAAGTTTTCACTCACCAGTGTCAAGATTTCCTATAATGATGTCTTCTCCATACCTAGCCTTCTTCCACAAGGAATTCGAGTCAACAGAACCATCGTTATTTTCTAGTGAAAGAAAATTCCAAGACTTTGTTGTGTGCAACTGTCTCATTTTATTTTCAAAAACAGAAACAACCTTTGGATCCTCTGTGTCGATATTTAATGTAAAACATGTATCAGTTCAGTACACCAAAAATGAATGATTAAATCAACATAAAGGAGACAAAGAATTAGTGGAAAGTATTTATCAACACAAGATGTTGTACTTGAAATTTTAGTCACCTGCTCCTCGTCAAGCACTGCGGCAAATCCATTGATGTATCCTCTATATGAGTAAAATATGGAATCTTTGGCTTTCTGTGTACTGCGTGAACAAGTACGTATAACATCAGCAAAAGAGAGAGTCGAACAATGTGCTAAAATAATATTAAAAAACACTAACACTCAATCTCCCTCAATCAGGATTTTTGTAACTGAAAAGAATGAATGTAGACTCAATTAATCCACATTAATTATTTACATAAAGTAATTGTCATCAAACTCAAATTTGCGTCATCACTCATTTTACACACCCAAATGATAAGATTTCTCCTCTTTAAATGGAGAGATCGAGAGTTAGAATCGTACAAGAGACATATTATGAATAATAAGTATTTGTTTTCTTTAACTTGAAAAATATATATAAATAAAATGATGAAATACATGAATTTTCAAAATTGAAAAACCAAGAATATATTTTTTTTCTTTTTTCCATTGGGCCGATCACTTGAATTCCTCTTTTTTATTCTTTATAATATATAAAAAAAAAAAAAAATAGAAAAAAAAAGTTATTAATCAAAATAAGTGTCAAATCCCATACCTTCCGAGGAATGATCCAAGAAATTGGTAGTGAGAATCTGTGACCTTATCGAGAACTTCCTCTGTCATTTTTCGACCATCATGTGAATGACCTCCCATGTACACAACATATGACTATTAAAGCCACCGCAAAAGGAGAGAAAACAATAAAAAGGCGGGAAAATAATCAATGCCAGTCCATTAGGAATGAAGAATTAGAAAATGAGTTAAATTCCAAATAGTAACTTGTGGGAGGGATATATACATATGTATATTTCCACCATATATGTATATAGAGAAAAATGTTGAGACAATGCTTACCTTTATGGCCGCGAAAGCTGGTGTTGGGGACAGAGAGAGAAGAATGAAGAGTGCAATGAAAATTGGAAGCTTTGAAAACAACATTTTGTTTTCCATCATCGCAAAATGCTATAATTGAAAATGAAGGAAAGAATTAAATATTAAAAGGAGGAAGGTGGAGGGATTGTGTGTTTATTTATTTATTTTTTTAAAAGAAAATGAAGGAGAGAATTTATACTTAGTGAGTTAGCGTCTTAGTGATCATGCTCGATTATTGCCGAAATAAATGCGTGTCTGTAAATTAATAACTTTCCTCTTTTAATAGTGTTCTCTCAATCTTCGTTCTGTTTAACTTTCTTTTATTTAATTTAGAGCAAAGGTTAATTTGCGTGCTCACTCGGTCGCTTCTATTCTTGGCTCACTATTCTAGTCATACAAACTTAATATCACCAAGGACTCCACAAATATATTATACTTCCGGGCCAAAGTAGTAATAAAAATTAAATTTTGAAAATAAAATAAAATAATTGTAAATATATATATATATATATATATATATAGTTAGTGTGTTTTTAATGCATATTGTTAAAGAATATTTTTTTATAGATGAGATGAGAAGAAAAATGTATATATACATATATATATATATATATATATATATATATATATATAGTTAGTGTGTTTTTAATGCATATTGTTAAAGAATATTTTTTTATAGATGAGATGAGAAGAAAAATGGAGAGAAAAAAACTGTTGAGTTTACCAAGTGTCTAACATATTAAGTATTTGTGTGTGTGTCTGTGTGTAATATGGTATGTTGTAGTGGGGATTACAATAATTATAATTATTATTTAATTAAATTTGATTTCCTAGTAGCGCAAAAAACTTATTAGACTTTGAAGGTGTTACAGGTCTCCCTCGTAACATTAATTCTACATAAAATCAACTATAACAATAAATAATTACAAAAACGTGGAGTTTTGGAAGGTTATTTTCAAATTTATGGAGTCAAAGTCAATGCTTTTGAAAACTATTGAAAACTATGCGGATAATGTTTGTATTCCAAATCATTCATAGTATTTTCAAATATTATTTTTGTACATATAAATAAGACTATTATGCACAGAAGTATCTTGAAATTCAGAGGAAAAATATGAGAATTAAAACTTTATTCAATTTATCATTGATGAGTATTACATCCAATTTATAGAATAAGATTAGCTAAAATAGGTAACTAATTACCTACCAATTAGCCCTAAATTAAGAAGTAAATAATTCAATCATACAGCTGCACTATAAGAGATAAAACCTTAACACTTCCCCTCAAGTTGGTGCATAGATGTCACACATGCCCAACTTGTTTAAATTTTTTGAAAACACTCGATTTGAGACTGCTTTGGTTAGAATGACGGCTAGTTGATCCTTAGATTGAATCTTAGGCAACTCCACAATTTTCCCATCCAACTTCTCCTTAATGAAAAATCTGTCTATTTCAACATGCTTCATACGATCATGTTGAACTGGATTATGGGTAATATCACATGCTACTTTATTGTCACAATATAGTCGAATAGGTTGCCCAGGTAGATAACCTAAATCCCGCAATAGATTTCTTAACCATAATATTTCACAAAGTGAAAGCGTCATACCTCTGAATTCAGTGAGCAATAACATTTTGTTTCTTGCTTCTCCATATAACAAGATTACCTCCTACAAAAGTAAAGTAACCAGAAGTAGATCGCCTATCATTTATAGCTCCAGCCCAGTCAGCATCAGTATATGCAGCTATGTTTTGAGAACCAGCATTTTTAATAAACAAATTCCTTTTCCATGAGCAAATTTCAAATACCTCAAAATGCAAAAAACTGCATTCATATGTTGCTCTCCAGGATCATGCATAAACTGGCTAACAATGCTTAATGCATAAGCCAGATCCGGTCTCGTGTGTGCTAAGTACATCAATCTCCTTACAAGTCTTTGGTATTTTCCTTTATTAACAGGTACTTGGTTGGACTAAACACATAACTTCAGTCCTTAATTCTTCCACTGGTGTCTCAGCTGGTTGACATGCTGTCATGCCAGTCTATTGTAATAGATCTAAGGTATATTTTCCTTGAGATAGAAAGATTCTTTTATTAGATCGAGATACTTCGATCTCAAGAAAATATTTCAAAGAACCTAGATCTTTCATTTCGAATTCTCTGGATAAGTACTTCTTAAAAGCCTTCATTTCTTTAGGATCATTCCCTATAACCACCATGTCATCTATATATATAATGAGTGCAGTGATCTTACCCTGTTGTTTCTTTAGAAATAATGTATGGTCTGAATTGCTCTAACGGTAGCCAAAGGCTATCATAGACTTTGTGAATCTTTTAAACCATGCTCTTGGAGATTGTTTCAACCCATATAATGATTTCTTTAACCTGCAGACCTTCCGACTATACTTTTCGGGTATCATGCATCCTGGTGGGAGATCCATGTAGACTTCTTCAGATAATTCACCATGCAGAAAGATATTCTTCACATCGAATTATTACAATGGCCAATCTAAGTTCGCAACTAAAGACAATAAAACACGAACTGTGTTTATTTTGGTTACAGGTGCAAACGTCTCTGTGTAATCGATTCCATAGGTTTGGGTGTAACCTTTTGCCACCAATCTTATTTTAAAGCGTTCAACTGTGCCATCTGCTTTATATTTCACAGTGTAAATCCATCAACATCCAACTGGTTTCTTTCCTGGTGGAGGATCAATGAGTTCCTAAGTTTCATTTTTCTGCAAGGATTTCATTTCCTCGTTCATAGCTACTTTCCACCTAGGGTCAGCTAAGGCTTCCTGCACACTGTTAGGAATAGATACAATAAATAATTGATTTACAAATGACAAATTTGATTATGACAAACGATGGTTCGACACATAATTGTTCATCGGATACTTAACTTTACTAGAAAGTTCGGGTTCATATGTGGGTTTAAGAATACCTCTAGTGTAACGCAATGGTAATTGTTTTCTGAGTGGCTCAGGCACTAAATCAGGAACATCCTTAGCGGGCCATTGGTTTGATATATCAGTTGCGAGGGACTCAAACTCGGACGACGATGGGGTTGGCGTCATACTTTTCATTTATGGGCATTTATCACCACTTTGATCCAAACTTATACCACTCGAATCTAATTCACCTGATTCCTGATTGGTTGGTCCAACTTGTGAGTCATTAACACTGGAATCGCCATCCTCAAAAATGTGATAATCATAATCTAAAGTTTGAATTTCGTTCTGCTACTCCCCCTGAAGTTCAGACGTAGAGGAAAAATACATCGAGTTTTCATGGAAGACAACATCCTTGGTGATAAACATTCGTCGAGTGGGAGGATGATAACATAGATACCTCTTTTGATGAGTTATCTGAGAAAAACACATCGCAATGCTCGAGGAATTAACTTGTTGAGTTGATGCTTATGGAGATGTACAAATGCGAGACAACCAAAGACATAAGGAGGTAGATTTGGGACGGTTGGGGCAACAACTGGTATCAGAGCCAAAAGTGAAGGAGATCCAAAAAACACAAGAAGTCTCAACATGTGCTACAACGGGCTTCAGTTGTAGGTGGAGTCAATCGGCTTGGTTACATGGCATGGAGCTTGAGTAGTCAAGGTGAAGCCTTGGGGTTTGACTGATTGAGCAACATATGAGTTCTGCAATAAGATCGAGAAGATTGAAGTTACAGAGAATTGTCAAGATTCAATTGCCATATGAGAAGCGATGATTAACGTAATGGAATTTGAGCTAAGGTGGAGATTGTTAGGAATTATGTCTCATATTCCCATTATTATTAGTTTCTATTTTAGAGTGTATTTTTATGGTAATTTCTTATAGAGACGTGAATTGGGCTCTAAGAAATTGTAATCCTATTTCTACAGATTGTTGCATTGATGCTTACGGAGGTGTACAAATGCGACACAACAAAAGACATGAAGAGGTAGATTTGGGACGGTTAAGGCAACAACTGCGTCAGTGAGAGCCTGCAATGGTGTCCAGAAGGCAATAGAGCTGGAAAGTACTCGATTGATTAGATGTGCTGCAGAGGTAAGTGTTTCTCCCCAATACGATAATGGCATATGCGCTTCTATCAGTAAAGCACTAACAACCTCCAACAAGTGTCGATTTTTTCGCTCTACAACCCCGTTCTACTGGAGTGTATAGGAACAAGTGGTTTGATGAATAGTTCCATGTGCTTCCAAATACTGCTGAAGGTCAAAACTCTGATATTTTCCACCATTGTCACTACGGAGAACCTGAACATGTGCATTGTATTGAGTTGCAACCATTTTATGAAACTTCTGAAACAATAAGTTCACTTCACCTTTGGACTTCATCAAGCACAATCAGGTCATCTTGGTACATTCATCAATAAAAGTAACAAACCAACGGGATACACCTAAAGTAGTGACTTTGGACGGATCCCAAACATCAGAATGTATAATCATAAAAAGAAGCGGACTTTTATGCAAACATAATTGATACGAAACATCATGGCTATTTGCTAGTTCACAAACATCACAGCGGAAACTAGAAACATCACATTTTGCAAACAAATTAGGAAATAATTTTTTCAGATAACCAAATGAAGCATGCCCCAGACGTCAATGCCACAGCCAGATTTCAGATTTATTTTCTACAATACCCCTAATTTTAAAAAGGATATAATTGAAATTTAATTATTATATTTTTAGGTGTTTATGTGGTTATGTATTTATATGGTTTCATATTTGTGTTTAATTGACTTAATTGTTTAAATGTGTAATTGACTTAATTGTTTATTAAAAGTGTGTGCTTAAGTTTTAAATTAATTATTGTATGAGTTTATTTGTTAATTGTTGTTGTGTTGATTTAAATATAATTTTTAGTTAATTGTTTAAATATGTGTTTTATTTTATTTTTAGTTTAAAATGATGGATTTGGATATTGTAATGGACCACTCACTTGAGTTTTATGGACTACTTGGATAGGAGGATAATGGGTACGGTTAATACCCAAGGAAGGTTATACATATATTTATGGGTATATATGTATATAGGGTTAATATAATTTTAGGGTTTTATGTATAAATATGAAATCACGTAGTTGAGATAGCCGACTTATATATATTTATTTTATATTTTATTATTTTCTTTTTCTTTTTCTTTTCCAGCTTCTCATGTGAATAGAATTAGGTTTTAGTGTTGCCTATTTAAATGCCATTAT